ACAATTGTTGTTATAAGTTTTTATGATTATCATGAAAACTTTGTCAGTGAAAACCAGTGAGAACTTACTGTGGGAGGATTTCAGCGCTTCCAACTTTCTGGTCAACATCCGGTAGCAACTGAAAAAATAACCCAATAGTTTAACTCCCACACTTTCATACACTGTATGGCAAAGGACAACAGGATTTTTAGGATCTCACACGGCATAGTCTTATTCAATAGTAGTAACGAGCCCTATGATATAGAGCTTTTAGACTCAAAAATTTACTAAGCTTCACTAAGTGCCTATGTCTACATTTAGAAAAAAAGAACAAATTTTAAAATGAGTCTTCAGCATATGACTTTGTAGTGATCCTAGCAATTTCAGATATTTTGGAATGCTCTCATAGAGGAAATGATTTGTAGTTCAGGTTGCAGTTTCATCTCCGCTTATGCTAGCCTTTTGCACTATCAAGTACTAATTTGATTTTGTTCAGACATGGATATGCCATTGCATTACTGCTTAACTGGTAAAAAACGCAATGTAGAGTTTATTTCAGCTTTTTTCTCCTATAGGGGTTTTATGTCAGTTTTGGGAGGAAAAATGACACCTGATCCAACAAAAAGCTGTTGGTACAAACATAGGAGTGGCTGTGGCATTTCCAGTCCTATAGCAAGAGCTATGAAGCAAGATTTACTGTATTGTCAAACCATAACCTGAGGGTTTTAAGGAGCTTGATTAGAAGATTCATACTGTCACAGAATAGGATCTGTTGAGTGAGATGAAAGGTTAGTATTTCACACAATAATTTGCAAACCTTCACTTGAAAGCCAGTAGTTTTGGTTTTCTTTTTTTTTTTTTCTTTATCACCTGGTGAAAGTGGATTGTGTGTGTTTTTTGCCTCTGAATTTCAATAGTTTTTTTGCAATTGATACCTCAGCAACTTCTGGACAACATGTGAAATATCCTTTTCTAAGGAAACAACAACAATGTAACTTATGCTGAAGTTGTTCCTAGTATGTCTACAATAAGAATATAAAAAACTTTATCTTAAAGGTAAACTTTTAGTGAAATAAGAATTATAAATAATGACAGATCTATGTTTCATATATAGACAATTTAAAGTAGGAGATGTAGTGAGATATTTCACCCCTTTACAAATGGGATAGTTCTGCTTCAAGATAAAAGTGGATCTCAGAAAAGGATATTCAAGTAGCAAAAATAATTTAATGATTCAGTCGGGTCCGGACAAAAAGAAGGTTGTTTCTAATTCAAAAACTCACTCTGTCTTTTAGGACTGACTCTTGTCTAGCACTGAATGTTCCCCCAGCCCTGTTTACTGTTAAATGCTTCCAGATTACTACAGAAGTAACAGACAGATATTGCTAAAATCATTAATGTGTATGACTGCACTGTCATTGCAGAGACCCGGGTTCGATTCCCGGTCGGGGCCCCTCCCCGGGCAGATGGAGCTCGTTAGCCCGTAAGGCAATCCATCTACGTCCTGAGGACCTCACTGCCACCGTCCAAGCGTGCTTGGCCCCAGCAGATGAACCTCAGGATTAAAGGGTGGGCTCAGTTCCGAGCACAGTGTCTCACCTAAAAAATCCAATGCGCAGGCTGGAAGGTGGAAAGACCTTCCCCGGTTCTTCGTTCGCGAAGAGACTGGCCATTAAAAAAATGTGTATGAAAAATTTCTAGGAGATTTTACCTCTATGGAATTTTTAATTAATTTTTAAGTTTTTCTTTTATTTCCTCCATTTTGGTAAGGCATTTAGATGAAGTATCAGGACCATAACAGAGTCAATAACCCCTTTTTTGTTTCTCCCCTCCTACGCAAGGTAATTTTTATGAGCAAAAATGTATGACATTTGACGTGGGAGATGTGACTGCTATCAAGTGGTGGGGTATCAATCTTCTCCCAGCCTTATCTGTACTTGATCTTCTCTCTCCATTTGCTTTATTTACAATGTAAGACGTAAGAACATATTTTGGGAGACAAATTCTTGGAGATACTATATAAAAATTAATGCTTTGACTAAATGCATTATTTAGAAATATTTCATTGTCTTAGCAGTTATTAACAGCAATTATTAGCAGTTTTACTGGGTGTACTTCTAAGGCCATGGCACAGCACAAAGTCATACATTCAAAAGCACATTGTCACTCTCAGATGTTATAGGGTATTTTTTTTCTGTAAGTCAACACCTTCATAAAAAAAAATTATTTTTAAAAATATATTTGGGGTTTTTCTCCATGTTTTGAAGATATACAGAGTTAGGCATGCTTGTAAGTTGCAAACCTTAGTGCTGAGTGATATCACCAACCACAAACCAAATAACCTTCCCAGATCAAGCCTTTAACTAAATAGTGGAGCAATAAGAAGCCAACACAGTCTTTAGAAAAGTCACATGCAGCAGTCTGACTGTCTAATAAGCTGCCTGGCTGGCCAAGAATACCACTAGAAAAAAAAAATCACACTTCAAAGAATCGGGAGGATGTCTTCAACAAGTCAGAAATTGGTTTTTGACCTTTCTGACTCATGTAAGCTTTCAGGATTCCCACCTGTGGTTTCTTTTCTAAATGATTTGATGATAAAAAGATAATATTTTTTCTCCTTTTGAATGGAAGAAACTCCTCCCTTTCTGTATTGGCTGTAACACTGCTGAAGCTGGCTCTGTCCAGTATTGCATTTTCAGGGGTAGAAACAAGAACTATCTCTGCTACATTTCTTAGCTAC